CGGGGGCAGGGGGGGGCCGCCCCAGCAGCTGCAGAGCCCGGCGTGGGGCATGGCGTGGCCAGGACTCTGCCAGGGCCGCGGGGCTGGCTTTGGGAGGAGCTGCGGGAAGGGCTGGGGGACCTGCACTCGGCCCCCTGCCGGCCTCGCCCTCCCAGGCACAGGTGTCCGGAGGCAGGGAGTCTGTTTGAACAGCGCGGCTCAGCTTGGATGCACTAAGTGCCATGAGTGCAAACAGGCCTGCCTGCCCCCGCCGGCCTCTTTTCCATGGAGAGCAGCAAGTGGCACGGACCCTCAGAGAGACCTGCCCGGTCCTGCTGCGGCCATCCTGCCTCGCCCTCTGCCTGCAAGCTGGACGGGTGTTTCTGGGCCAGATCTGATGCTCTCCTCACTCTGCCCAGGCCCGAGTGGCCCCCTCGGCAGCCCCCAGCTTCTCACCCACGACGGGTTCAAGTCCCCAAGCTTAGGAGCTGGGAAGAAATCAGATTGGGTGTGAATAAACCTTGTACTCAGTTGCCGTGGCTACCAAACGGGGCAGAATTGACCTGCCTATTGGGGGAACTGAGGATGAGTGAACTGGTGACAAGTCAGGGCAAAGCAAATAGATAGCGACAGTCCCATCAGGAACAGCACGGGCCGGTGCTCCTAACACACTGGGCGCATTTGCTCCGCGGCCTTGGCTGACAGTTGTCCTTGCCTGAAGCCCTTTAGCTGGCTGCCTTCGAGGACGCCACGTCGGTGAGATATACGTGTGAATAAGACGAGGCTAGAGTGTGTCCTGGCTCTAGGAGGGCAGAGTCGGGGTGTCTTCTTTGCTTATGTATGTGTGTATTTGTAATAATTTGATTGACATATGATTTACATACCATACCAGTCACAAACGTAAAGCACACAATCGAACGCTTTTTAACGATCAACTTGAGAACATTTTCACCACCACGAAGAGAAACCCTGGACCTGTTAGCCATCAGTCCCCCTCCCTGAAGCTGCCCCCTGAGCCTCTGGCAACTGTTAATCTATTTTCTCTATGGACTCGCCCACTCTGGACATTTCCTACAAACGCAGCCATACAGTATGTGGCCTTTTGTGCCCGCCTTCTCCTGTTAGCTTAACGTTGTAACGTCCATCCACACTGAGTAGCCTGTCAGTACTCTATTCCTCTTTATGGCTAAATGATATTTCATTGTCTGGATATACCAACACTTTATTTATCCATTTTTCAGTTGAGAGCTATTTGGGTTGTTTCGACGTTGGCCATTACTCAATGCTGCTGTGAATATTCACGTACACGTTTTTGTGAGCGCACACGTTTTCAATTCCTTTGGATATATTCCTAGGAATGGGATGGCTGGGCCATACGGTCACTCCACGAGGACCCACCAGACCGTTTTCCAAGGCGGCTGCACCATGTTGCCTTCCCACGGCAGCGCACGAGGGTTCTGGCGTCTCCGCGCGTGGTTTCTGAAATGAGCTGCGGCAGCAGACACCCTGTGTTGCCGGCCCGGCAGCCTTTCCTTCCTTCCTGGCCCGCAGAACCCCACGTTGGTACGTTCCAGGCAATGGAGCGTGGCTGGTCTCGCCATCCTGCCTTTGGGCATCCCTGGCTCCCGCCTGCTGGCAACATGGCCCCAGTAGCCCATGGACAGTCCACTGAGGAGCCCCAAGTGCAGACAAGGCCACTGGGAGCAAAAACACGTTAAAGTGGGGAGAGAGGCTCAGATACGGGGAGGGGATCTGAGGATTGACAGTGTCCCTTGCACCCACTCTCCAAGCTCCCTCGCAGCTGGGTGGCCATGTGGCCCAGCTCTGACCAATGAGGTCTGGGCAGAGTCAGCCAAGGAGGTGGGGGCAGAGGGCTCGGCCTCCGCTGGCCCCTTCCTGTCTCTCCTGAATGCACTGGTGACTGCTCCTGCCGCGCGCTCGAACCCGTGTCCTTGAGGGAGAAGCCAGGAGTGATGCGAAGACACTGATTCCTGCACACACCCATCTGTAGCTCTTTTCATGTCGGAAACAGAAAGCCTTTTGTTTAGACCACTGTTAGGTTTTCTGGAACATCCCAATGGCTCCACGAGGCTTGGTTTTCTAAGTTGTTCAAGGCTCATTTGAGTTGGAAGGAATGGGAACACTCTCCAGGTTGCTCAAGTAACTGAAATAACTTGTGGTGGGAAGCCAGGAGCAGCCAGGGTTCCACCACAACCGGGCCTGCACCCTCACTTCGTTCTTTCACCGTTAACAACGCGCCTGACTCCCCTCAGCAGAGCCCCTTCCCTCCTCCTGGCAGGAGAGTCTGGTCGGTGTCAGCTCCCAGGTGCCCGCTCTCTGGGGGGCTCTTGGCTCAAGTCCTCTAGGAGGCAGTGTGTCTGGGAGCGCTCTTTCCTGTGGCTGCCTCAGGCGGAGGGTGGTTGTCCCCGGGTCAGTCCCCACCTCAGCTGATTGGCTCCAGCCAGCTGGCGTCCCCACCTCAGCTGATTGGCCCCAGCCAGCTAGCACCGCCCCCCGCCCCCCATACAGGTGTCATGTGAAGGGCTATGGGGAGGCAGACACTGGCACAGGCATGTCCAGGACAAGCACCTGCGGTTCTGTAACTGGAGGGGGGAGGAGGGGGCAGGAAGGAAGACAGAGGGAGAGAGAGGAGAGAGGGGGAGGTGTGACTTACAGAAAACAAAAACAAAGAGGAGATGTTTGCTTATTTCAAGTGCATGGATGATGGAGAGAATGGTGGTGGCATAGGGCTCTTCGTCTGCTCTGAGACCAAACCAGAAGGACAGCCAGTACAGGCAGAGCTGGAGGCTGCACCTTAGGAACATCCCAAGGCTGTGACGAGTGGTGAAGGCAGGCGTGCCCCCCTCCCCCCGCAGCACCCCACCCATCCTGTGGTCCAGGTGGGGCCGTGGCTGGGGTGGTAGCTGCCTTCTCTGCAATCCTGCGGGTTTAGGGTCCCCCGAGGCCACCTGGGATCTAAGCCGCCCTGTGCGAGGTCCCCTCACCCCCAGAGCTTTCGGCCAGCACCGTGTGGACTGTGGGCTTCTCTCGGAGGCAGATGCCAGCGTCTGGAGCCACGAACTCACCCTGGACTGGGATTCCTCGTGTTCTGGAGAAACGGGCCGAAAGAGTGCTGGCTGTCATCTCGTCACTATAGACTCGCTAGCTCCTGGTTTAAGCAAGGGCTGTCGTTAGGCCTGCAAGGCCGTGTGATAATCAAATCCAGAGACGCTCAATATGCGAAGAGTTCTCTCGTGTGCCATTTGGGAAGCTTAGCCATGGATGCCCGGGGGATCCCGGGAAGGCCTTAGCAAGCTCTGTAGCCCAGAGTCCCGACAAGTCTGGGCACTGTCCACAGGCAATGGTGGCTGTCCTCAGGCGGGAGGAAATGAAGGCGAGAGAACGCCCTCCCGGCATGGGAGCACGCGTGGGCCCCAGGACAGTGGGGTCACCTCGGGGTGCAGGGAGGGTGGGCCAGCCACCGGAAGCCCTGCCCCCCTCAGGCCCCGGGCATGGAGTGCACCAGGTTCACTGTGGGCAAAGCACGCCACTCATTTATAGACTCCAGTAGCCCCCCTTCCCCGCGGCTTCACTTTCCATGGTGTTAGCTATCCATGGTCAGCTGCGGTCTAAACATATTAAATGGAAAATTCCAGAAATGAACAATTCATACGTTTTAAAATTGGGGGCCATTCTGAGTAGCGTGAAGAAATCTGTCACTGCCCCCCTCCTTCCCACCGGGACTGGAGACCCGAATCCTCCCTTTGTCCCGCGTCTCCAGGCCGCGTAGGCTCCAGGCCGTTAGTCACTTAGCGTTAGCGGCAGTCTGGATTATCAGATCGGCTCTCACAGTATCGCAGGCCTTGTGTGCGAATAGTCCTTCTTTTACTTCGTAATGGTCCCAAAGAGCGAGAGTGGTGGTGCGGGCAGGGGGGATGTGCCAGAGAGAGCCGTGAAGTGCTTCCTTTAGATCAGTGGTTCTCAACCTTCTGGCCCTTTAAATACAGTTCCTCATGTTGTGACCCAACCATAAAATTATTTTCGTTGCTACTTCATAACTGTAATGTTGCTACTGTTATGAATCGTCATGTAAATATCTGATATGCAGGATGGTCTTAGGCGACCCCTGTGAAAGGGTCGTTCGACCGCCAAAGGGGTCGCAACCCACAGGTTGAGAATCGCTGCTTTAGGTGGAACGGTGAGAACCTACAGGAAAGAACATGTATATGTAGGATTCGGTCCTATCGTGGTTTCAGGCACCCACTGATGTATCTCCGTCAGATAAGGGGGCACTACTGTCCCTACTGAGAACCTGCCAGGTGCTGGCAAAGTCGGCCAGACTGTGGCCGCCTCCCCTTTCCTGGCCGCCCTCTCTCCCCACCTCCTCCTCTCTCACTCAGGTTTTCAAAGACCAGCAAGGACAGTGTCTTTCTCAGGAGCACTGCCAGCTGAGAGTTGGGGGTGGGGGGAAGGGGGGCTCTGAAAACCCGAGGCCACAGAGCCAAAGGACGGTAACATAATGTGGACTTGGTGTGTGGGCGTCAACTCGAGGTTCCCAAAACACTCTGCCCCCTAGAGGGAGCCCCCTCCCTCCCTTTTCTCATTCAGCACACAGGGATGGAGGCCTCTGTGCTGGGACCTGCCTTAGCTGCTCCTGGCTGGCTGTGGCCTGAGGTGCTTGGGTCTAGGGTTTAGGAGTGAGCCC